AGAAATGACACACGTGCAAGTCTATCAAAATAACGATATTTATATCTCGTTATTACTTACGATTATGGATAATTTAAGATTTAGTGATATGTAATTTATATCTCATAATAACAACTTCTTGTGATTAACAAGTTATCAAGACTTGAATCTATGAAAACTATTAATTTAATTTATTAGAATAATAGTTCAATTAAATAACACATCTTGAATATTAAAATGTTTACATCCAAAATCAATTAGACGTAAGATATAACACTTACAAATCCTCCACAACTTTGTGCCTGTTTGAGCCCCATTTTTTTTTGTCCATAATGCATTTTTTAATAGGATTTTGTTGGAGAATGTGTAAATAAAAAATAAGGGAAATTTTGGGTTTGCGTTTAGTATTATTTTATTGAAAAATGTGTGGTTGAAAATAAGCAAGAGAAAAATGCATTTTGAAAATAATGGATGGCAAACAAGTGCAAAATAGTTAATTAAATAATTATTTTGACATTTTTACTTACAGTATAGAGATATTCTTGGCAAAGGAGCAACAAAGACAGTGTATAGAGCATTTGATGAGTTTCTTGGAATGGAAGTAGCCTGGAATCAGGTAGAGCTTAATGACGTTTTCAGGTCACCTGAAGAATTGCAGAGGCTATATTCTGAAGTCAATCTTCTCAAGACTCTTGATCATCATTCTATAATGAAATTACGTGCATCCTGGATTGATGTTGATAGAAGAACTTTCAACTTCATCACAGAAATGTTCACCTCCGGTTCCCTAAGAGAGTATAACTAATAAGATTTCAAATTTTTTTTTCTTTCTCAATCATATTTATTAACTGAGCGTACAATTAACGAGCTGATCAAACACTATCGATGTTTAAATACAGGTACAGGCAGAGGTACAAGCGAGTTAACATTGAAGCGATTAAGAATTGGGCTCGACAAATTCTTGAAGGGCTTGATTACTTGCATAGTAACGATCCTCCAGTAATTCATCGAGATCTTAAGTGCGACAACATTTTTGTCAATGGACATCTTGGGCAGGTCAAGATTGGTGATCTAGGATTAGCTGCCATACTTCATGGAACTCACCATGCCCACAGTGTCATAGGCAATCCTCAACCTCTCTTTCTTTCTAAGGCCAAAAGTTATTTTGTAAATAACCTTTTTCTATCAAACATATTTGAAGTTTTTTAAAAGTTATTTTTTGGCTTTTCAATATAAATCTTATTTTTGACAGTAGAGATACAAAAAAGTAATTTTACATCTTTATTTAAGCTTGGCTAAACATACTGGATCATGAATAGGAAAGCATGCATGACACAATCTAAAAAGTTTTTTTTTTTTACTATCCAATTTTGGAGTTTTCTAGGTTCTTGATTTTATTGTTTATTTCTAT